CAGTGATTATATAACGTGTCTGTCACTGATTGTGTGAAGTAATGACAATACAAACGAGTTTATATACGTAACAGTGACTATATAACGTGTCTGTCACTGACCGAGTGAAGTAATGACTATATAAGGAAGGTTATATACGTAACAGTGACTATATAATGAGCCTGTCACTGATTGAGTGAAGTAATGACTATATAAACGAGTTTATATACGTAACAGTGACTATATAACGAGACTGTCACTGATTGTGAGAAGTAATGACTATACAAACGAGTTTATATACGTAACAGTGACTATATAACGTGTCTGTCACTGATTGTGTGAAGTAATGACAATACAAACGAGTTTATATACGTAACAGTGACTATATAACGTGTCTGTCACTGACCGAGTGAAGTAATGACTATATAAGGAAGGTTATATACGTAACAGTGACTATATAACGAGACTGTCACTGATTGAGTGAAGTAATGACTATATAAGGAAGGTTATATACGTAACAGTGACTATATAATGAGCCTTTATATCCAAGTACGCACACACATTACAATAGTAGCAACATCGCAGTATAATAAGCATTACATATTCAGATAGATATGTATGTATGTATGTATGTATGTATGTATGTATGTATGTATGTATGTATGTATGTATGTATGTATGTATAAAGACTATTACTAAGAATAGTGTGACAGAATATTTCAACTGGTTGTAGTACAGTTTAAACAAATTAGCATGCACTACATTGTGTATATATATATATATATATATATATATATATATATATATATATATATATATATATATACATTGTGTATTGTGTGTGTATATATATATATATGGGCTTGCTTTTGTAGTATTCATTTTAGTCACTCTGGAACAGAGATATAGCAGTTCCCCATCATTTCTCAAATTTACCACCCTTACAAGATGTATAAGCATTACATTTTTCTGTTGAAATTTCCAACTTCATAATTTCATGCTGGCGTTCACGTTTGGATAGCGTCCTTTCATCTTACATGAGTAGATAATTAATCAGATTAAGTATTTTTACTATATCAACGGTACCCAACAGAAGTAAAAGACGTTTTGTAATATTATTATTTGTATACGTCGTTTTATTACAGATGTAGCTTAGAAATTATTCCAAAAATTACTCAATAGATGACAATGTAAAAAGGCGACAAAACCCTTTCCATATTCAGTTGTAATCTCTGCTAAAAGCAGAGTCGAATGAACGATACCGACTTTATCATGAGCATGTGTTTTTTTAATCATTATCAAGAAGTGATGATACCAGGTGTTCGTGAAAACGCGAGCGTATCCTGCCCCACCGATGGCACCCGTCACAAACACGTGCAAAGGCAAGTCAATTGTTCACGTTTAGTGGACCAATTAAATTTCTGGCGGCACTGTTATTAAACATTTTGGGTTGAAAATCTCAATATGCCGCAGAATTGTTGAAGGTTAAGCTTCATTCTATATGTTTTCTTTATGTCCTTAAAAGATTGTTCTTTCAGCATATCATTGGTATTTCTTACTCCTTGAGAATACAAAATTAATGTTTATGAAACATACACATTGTGATACTATATCAAGTTGGTCATTATAGCTTATAAAATATTTTAATCATGCCCATGCTAAGAGCACATCTTGCCCCCCAAAAAATTTCATCTTATGTGCAAACGAGCATATTTTCTCGGATCCATATTCCCAAACTGATATGTTTAAAGTTAGGTCCTTCAGCATAAAAGTCATTCACCTTTGCACCACTTTCCGATGACATTTTGGATTTACTTGATTTTATCATCATAATTACACCGTATCATTTACGTTAAGTATGCATTGAATGTAATTCCCAAAACCTTTAAGGCCAAAGGGACCAGTCCAAATTTTGAAGCATCATCCAGACAACTCTACTCTTGTTGTGGTTTAATTTTAATCCTGACAATTTACTGTACAGACGAACTGTTTCAATGCAAGCCCTGAAGTTTCTTTAATAGTGTCTTGAAATAGTGACGTATCATCTGCATATTGATTTATTAAGTACTGCAAGTTACCAATAGTAATACTTGTTATGTCTTTGTGTCCTGAGTGAGTGAGTGAGTTTGGTATTACGCCGCTTTTAGCAATATTCCAACAAGGCGGGGGCACCAGACATGGGTTTCACACATTGAACCCATGTGAGAAATCGAACATGACGTAAAGAGGCAACGCCCCATAAACAATTTAAACGTGAGCATGACTGAACAAACGGGGCCGGGCAACATATTCGTACATGCAACAGTGATTACAAATGAGCCATCGAAGTATGACTAATGATACCTGGTAATGACTGATATGCGGGGGCAGTGACAGCATAAACAGTGACAATATGAAGTATGACTATGTACACGTGACAGGAGTGGTGTAAAGTAGACAGGGATAATAATCAGAACATGAACAAAACAAATGCAAATAGTGGATCTTCAGGCCAAAGATTATAGGGCGACATGTTTTAATCATCACATCAAAATGCAGATTGTTTGGGAATAGTTTTAGATGTAAAGCTGTTGGATTTAAAATTTCAACACTGTATAATTCGAAATCTATTCAAAATGTTCGATCGGCCAGGTCACCACTCAACAGCTGACACCACTACAGTTGCCACAGGTGTGTCTAGCTACCACACAGGTACACTGATGAATGTTCTCACATTGCAAAACAAGACAATTGCATGCCCGCTGATGCTACAACAGGGTGGAATACTAATACTAATATTACATTTCGATTAGATAAGATAGACTATCTATTAAAAAGTAATTTATTATCCCGATGAAAAGGGCGTGGTATGATAAGAGTAAAACACTTCTTCGGTCCCGCACTTGCTCATGGTTGGATTTTCTCTTGACGTAAAACAACCGACCCTTCTTCACTAATTTTATCCCCACCAACTAGATCATGTCATTCGTGGGAACACAAACAGAGAAACACTCTTGGCTTACAATTACAAAACACTATAATGATAATAATTGCCATGCAGTGACACTGTAACAATGTAACAGTATTTCAGTTAGTGTGCCTACCATGAAGGGATATTGTGGCCATATGGACTTACAATGAACAGGAACTATTTCAGTTATTGTACCCACCACAAAAGGATATGATGGCAAGATGGACTTAATCGTAATCGAACGATCGACTCTGACATTGCTTTTGAATATGGAAAGGGTTTTGTCGCTTTTATTACAATGAACATACACTATTTCCCGAGTGCGAAATCAGCAACACCGGAAGCGGTCTTTAAATCATCATCATCATCTATTTCAGTTAGTGGGCCTCCCACTAAAGGATATTGTGCCAACATTGACTTACAATGAGCAGACACTCGTTCTTGATAAGTTCTCATTAAGCAGGAACAGAGTTACAACCGGAGGCTTACAGTGGGTCACTTTTTCAGTTTGTGTGCCTACCAAGAAGGGATGATCTGATATTATGGTCTTACAATGAACATACACTACCTCATATTGAACCATTGGACCACAGTTACAACGGGGGCAATATGCATGTTTTCCACAGCTGACGAGGATTAGCGGCACAACAGGCAACGTGAGACTGTGATCGTGAAACAGATTAGTGACCAATTACAATGTGGCTAACACAATGGTCCGATACTACTATATTAAGAAGGCATGTTCTCTCTGAGGGAGAGCATGGCTGCATGCAGCGTACCTGCTAGAAATATAAACACAAGCTGAATGAATGTTAGTGACCTAAAAAATGTGCAAGTCTCTGTGAAGGAGTGACTCAAAAGTTACATCGGCAGTATGTCAACCATATAGCGACTTGAGCATGTACCCTGTTGATCGAATAAAATCCCGAGAACAAAGGACAGTTAAACAACCTGTAACAAGTACATTTGAAGCGTGTTGGGGAATGCTAAATACTAATTTAACAATCAGCAACGGCTTAATCCAATTCTTGCTGTAAATTGCGAGTAACTAAAGTTTGGCTTAATATATATATTACTCAAATAGAGTTCAAGAACATCCCATTCTTTCATATTATTAGTCATGACATTACAGTCAACTACAGTCACTGCTGCAATTCGGGTGCTCTAACTTCTTTTGAGTAGTACGCTCCCGGTACATTGATAACGGTGAATATGCCATATAATACATATGGCGAGTAGAACAATCAGCCAGTTATACCATACATAGTATTACTATATATTAGTCAATATAAAAGCATGAAAGTTGAAAGATACAGAAAACTGTCATGGGTAACAAAATGGGTAACAACCAGACATTTGTCTTCTTCAAAGTTCAAGTTCTTTCTTCTATCTTGCTAAACTGCATAACATTTGACAAAATAAGTGAAAAAATAATAATGATGAAGGAGTATGTATTTACTCCAAAAAGTTGTGTTCCTCATGATAAAGTTGACATCCATAAATTCTCTTCCTTATTCACTGATGAAGGAGTAAGTATATACTCCAAAAAGCTGTGTTCTTCATAATAAAGAAGTTGACATCCATAAATTCTCTTCCTTATTCACTGATGAAGGAGTAAGTATATACTCCGAAACGTTGTGTTCCTCATAATAAAGAAGTTGACATCCATAAATTCTCTTTCTTATATGTATTACTTCTAAATGCCTTTCAAAGACTCGAAATAAATAATGTTTAAAATTTCAAAAGACCATGAGCATGAACATGGCCCCAGATGACTTTTCACCGTATGTTCGTACTATTTTCATCTACATGTCTTAAGAAAGATCAAGGAACCAAGTCAAGGAACCACCATACGCAACCAACACATTTAAAGGCGATAAGCTTATATGAATCTGTTGACGTGAACCATACCATGCAGAAAAAAAACAATACCAGAACACGTTAACATGTTCATATCTTATGTGCTATAACATTAGCTGTTGGGAACATTTATATAAAAAAATGTATGTTGACATTGAAATAAAGCTATTAAACGTGCACAGATATTAGAATATATAAGGCTTGGCCCTACCTTGTGAAGTCCGAGATATGACGCGGACGCGAGGAGAGCGTAGTTTACTATTCACCGAGTCGTCCTCAACTGATGTTACACGCGGCTATTGAAGATATATCTCAATAGCTATTGATCTATCTCGATTGTTCGCATAAGCTACAGAGGACTGATTCATATGCACAATGAAGGAAATTATAGATTTGTTCTTGAAAGTATTGACGATGGGTGTCTCCTCGTGATATTGTTACATATATTTACTGTTGAGTGTACGTGGCGTTACTCTACATATGTTTTGTCTGGCGTTGGAGCATTTGAATAACGGAGTGTGTTTTATCGACTTATATCGACCATTGTTGACAAATCTAAACCGTAGTTGTCGCAGCAGATTGTCGCGTCCATCTGTTACCGTGAGTCAATAGCTGGCGTCGCTGTTCCGCGCTGAGACGACGTAAGGCCACACATTACTTTGTGCAGCCATAGACTTAATGTATAACTGATAGCCTATTAGTTTCAGGTAGCCTAACGAGTCTGCATATATCATATAATAATTTATTATTATTTATAATCGGTTATTTTCGATATTACCTCAAAGTACTGTTGGGCGTACTAACGGCGTTGGGGTTGCCTGGTGGTTAAAGCGTTCGCTCGTCACGCCGGAGACCCTGGTTCGATTCCCCAACATGGGTACAATGTGTGAAGCCCATTCTTGATGTCCCTGCCGTGTTATTGCTTTGATGCTGTTAAACGCGGCGTAAAAACATACTTACTCACTCACTCACTCAAAGTATTTAACGTGTAGAATTGTGATGGAATTATTCGTTAGTTATTGAAGTGGATAAGATGCACGCGGGGTACTCTCCGTGAAGTGATGTGAGCTCAGATACAGCTGATTGGAAAAGAAGGGGTCAATTTTGTTATTATAAGTTCTCATTCAAGTGCTATATGAAAGCAAAACTTCCTCGAAAAGTTTACAGTTTGTAGTCGTGTTATTTTTATTGACAACATATCACTCCCACGATATTGGCCTTCTGCAGCAGCTGCTTTGATCAGTATTTCGTTTATGTCTCGGCATGCCAGGTTGATGGGGACAGTGCGAAGTATATTGGTCTTGATGTGACGCATCAGTGACAAAAGAAATTGTCCGATGCAACAAATGGACTTCTCATACCCGAGAAAGAACAGACATATTCCCCGTAGGTTTACACGGACATAATACGGATACATAGCTTTACCCTCAATTGGAACAACGTATTTTGTCAAATCGTTTAATCCTCACGGTTAACTTTTTGTTTGTTTGTTTGTTCTTTAAAGCCGCACTCAGCAATATTCCAGCTATATGACGGCGGTCTGTAAATAATCGAGTCTGGACCAGACAATCCAGTGAATGACATCATGAGCATCGATCCACGCAATTGGGATACGATGACATGTATCAACCATCCGATCCCGTTAGTCGCCTCTTAAGACAAGCAAAGTCGCCTTTTACGACAAGCATGGGTTGCTGAAGACCTATTCTAACCCGGATCTTCACGGGTCCCGATTCAAATAAGAATTTCAACATTATTGACATTTCACTTCATTGTTACGGAGATAATTAACTTCTTTAAAGTCCATGATGGTCATGATGACCTTAATATGTAATATGATGAAATTAATATCTACTATTGTTATATATTAAATTTGTATGTTGAATTGCGACGTGAATGTTTGCGTACATAGAACTGGCAAGGCGTGAAATGTGGCATATTCGATCCAGGTATAGTGGAGTTTTAAAAAGCTTTCACATTGTATAACGTTATTACCATTAACCATGGAAGTAGGCAACATGTGGCCACACCTTAATTAGTGTCATAAGTTCAGAATCAATATCCTGTGTACATTCTATATTTTATACGCACAGACCTCTCAATGTTGTTACGTAGTGTGAAAGAGACACCCCCATACATCACATTAATAAACCAATAAACAATCAATATACAATCAACGAAATGCGTGATTAAATTATTGTTCCTTTCTTAGCAGTCGGTGATATAGAGAATTTCACCTGGGTGTCTTTTGATATCAAATATATCAACACGAGTTGATAAAAGTGGAAAAATTCGAAAAAGACTTTGATCAACGAGTGTTGATACGTTTGTTATCAAAATACATCAAATATTGAATTATTAATTCTTTTACAATGGCAGATTGAAACATGTCAGCGAGATAAATTTGTTGCACTATTATTACGGGTACATGTGGTTTTATGCGTCCCTCATAAGGTTTTTTCAGCTCCTGGTATTAAACCTAACTTTTTCAGTTTGTAGACAGTAATAAGCAGTGTCTTAAGTGTAAAAAGTACTGCCAACAGCTCCAGTAGCTGAGCCATTGGCATAAGACTTCAGTCTGATATTTCTGCCGCTAAAATTAATCTTGAAGATATAGCCCCCACGCAGCTTTTGTCTTCTCCACCTTGGCAGTTAGTAAAGCCAGAGGTTGATATGACATTAATTAAATTAAAGAAATCGGAAACAAACCAACTTATTTATCAACAAAAATATAATGAATTAAGAAACACATATAATACTTACAAATCTATATTTACAGATGGAATTAAGGATAGTGGCGCTGTTGCCAGCGCCACTGTCATTGGATCCAGGACTCTCTCCTCGTGATTACCCGATAATAGTTCCATTTTCACAGCAGAGGCCAATGCCATTTTAACAGCTTTACAATATATCAGTAAACAGTCAAAATATCAGAAGTTTATCCTATTTTCCGATTCTCTTTCTTGCCTGCAGGCTATCCATAACATATCATGTCAACATCCACTTTTAATCGAAATTATTGAATTATTTAATGAACTTGCTACTGGCCAATACGACATCGTCTTTTGTTGGTTGCCCAGTCATGTGGGCATCAAAGGCAACACAAAGGCTGATGCTGCTGCAAAAGCAGCACTCAACAAATCTGTGACACCACTTCTTATCCCGTACACTGATTATAAACCTGTAATCAGATCTTATATTCGTGATCTGATGCAAAAGAAGTGGGACTACCAAGTAGGTATCAATAAATTACATGTAATTAAACCAAATATTGGTTACACCTACTTGGGCTGTCAGTCCAGATTTGAAGAGGTCATTATGCGACGATGTCGTATTGGCCATAGTAGGTATACACACGAATGTCTTTTAAAAGGTGAGGATCCTCCATTTTGTATCCCTTGTGATGAAAGAATCACCGTCAAGCATGTCCTGCTTGATTGTGTTGATTTTTCCATCACAAGGGATAAATATTTCAAAGTTTCATACTTAAAGGATCTTTTTAATATCAGTGCTCATTTAATTATTGACTTTTTCAAAGAAATTGAATTGTTACATAAATTTTGATTGATATGTTTTGTATATAATATAGTTTTTATAATTGGTAAAATAAATTTGATAACTGAGATTGTCAGTGGCTTTATCCTCGAAGGGGGTTGAAGTAGTGTAAAATTATTGTCCCCCTGAGAGGGTATGTAAGACCACGTCTTTCAAAGTATATTTATTTCTACCACGTTTTTAATAGTAGTATATATGTTCGTTTAACTTTGGCTAAATTTTGTCATAATCGCCAACAGCTGAAGGGTTGATGTAAATCCGGCTGGGGTCCATGCAGGTAGCAAAAGTACTGTAAGTCCCCATGGACCCTAGCATGGTGGTCTACCTTCAGCTGCTGGCGATCTATAGCCTGTTTTTTATCTTGTATCTTTATGTATAGTGCTATTCTCTTTTATACTTCCGTACTAGTTTTATATCTTTTTCTGTGATGAATCTAGTAATTTTACTGTCCTTCGTTGACAGGTTTTTATACAAGTTTCAATGTATGTATTATGTTTAACTATTGATAGTCACGATATGGCTGAAATATTGCCGATGTGACTTAAAATTTAACTCACTCACTCACTGAGCCATTGGTGATGTCATTTGATTGTCTTGTCATGGTAACCATTGACGTCAGAATGGTCTCACCCAATATATATATACCGGCGGATTCACTGTAAGCCAAATCCGATGGTTGATATGAGCATTGACACATGATCCCAATTCAACTTTTGTAACAACTATGGCTTATTTCCTTTAAAGAAGGTGAAGATGGGATACCCCCTGAATTCTTTAAACTACCATCGGATCTCTTTGCACCATGCTTGAAGTTATTGTCCAATATGATTTTAAACATGGGTGTGTTTCCAGAATCTTGGAATATAAGTATGATTATTTCATTATATAAATCTGGGTCAGTTTGTGAGCCAAGTAATTATAAAGGCATTTCACAACTAAATGTTATTGGCAAAATCTTCACAACAATCAGAGAAAAACGTTTGAGAATATGGATGGAAGTAAATGATTACCTTCCTAGACTCAAGCAGGGTTCCGACCAAAGTACTCTACTGTTGATAATTTCTTTGTTTTACACACTCTTTATTCTAAATAATTGTGCACAACCAGAGGTCTCTTTTATTGTGTATTTATTGACTTTAAAAAGCTTTTAACTGTTAATAGGAACAAATTGGTGTATTTACTTATTACTGAATGATAAAATGGTAAAATGTCTGTACTTTTAAAAAAACATGAATGAATGAATGAATTTCTTTATAAATGAATTTCTTTCTTTATCTGTATAAGTTTGTGCTAGTTTCCATAATACATGTAGTTTCAGTTTAGAGTGAACTGACCTGTATTGGACCAGATCCTTTCTCAATGACAGTCTGAGTTTGTGTTTTAAGTCCGTTCTTGTTTATATTTTTCAGGTTCGGGGACTTGGTGGATTCCGTGTCATCGTACTCCGATGGAGTTGATCGTTGCTATTAATATGAATCTGTACATTGACTTTACAGAGCGACGTTTAATAGCTGGAGTTAAACAACACACACAAAACGCACACACAAACGCGCGCACACACACACACACGATCATTTTGATACTTTTACTGGTATTTGCTACGAGTATTTGCTACCGCTGTCCTAATTCTGAACGAAATGTCAAGTTGTGGTTTTTTAGGTGATGTATGAAGAAGAAGAGTGAGTGAGTGAGTGAGTTTGGTTTTACGCCGCTTTTAGCAATATTCCAGCAATATCACGGCGGGGGACACCAGGAATGGGCTTCACACATTGTACCCATGTCGGGAATCGAACCC